TTGGCCGTGGTTATCTTAGCCAATTTTTTAATCTGATTTGTTTTCCTACAGTTTTGCAAGTTTCTACGCTGAAATGATCCAACAAAAATCAACCACTTCTACAACTGAAAAAACAAGCTTTTGGAATTTCTTCAAATTAAAATGAAACAGTTTTTTTTTTTTGAAGAATTAAGCCGTTAAGATCTCAAGGAGCCAAGTAGACTTAAAAACTACAATTGTGGAAGAATACACAGTTCTTATAGGATGACGGGCTGTGAGGTCCGAAGTCATGTGAGCTGGCCTGACAGAATGTCAGTTGGTCACACGTGAGCGTGACATTCGAGGCCCTCCACCGAGGGACCCACCTCTGTCCCTCCAGCATACACCCGGGGACACGCCACGCACTGGACCTCTGTGTTCAGACCACTCTGGCTGTTTCCTAGGCTGGCCCCCGGCCTGGAGTGCCTCTCCTCCTGTTCTTGTCTCACCTTCAAGGCTCACCTACTCTGCTTGTCCATCTATTCCTTCTAGAAAACCTGAATCACTTTGTCCTGTGCATCCCCTAGCTCATCACATTAGTCTTGCAGGAGCCAGACTGTACCGGCTGACTGTTCTCTTGTCTGTGTCCTCGCCAGTGACCTCCTCCTGAGCGTTCATTTTATGTAGCAGCTCATCAAAGCCATGGTGCCCAGTTGTGTGGTCGGACACTTAGAGAATGGGTGAGATGTTGCTGGTAGTTTTTAGGTATGACTCACATTTACAATCAGTTGACTGTAAGTTGATGACCCTCCATAATGTGGGTGAGCCTCATCCAATTAACTGAAGGCCTTAAGAGCAAAGACTAAGGTGCCTGAAGAGGAAGGAACTCAGTATGAAGATGACAACATAGAAATCCTGCCTGAGTTTCCAGACTTGAGACCAAGGCTGCAACATCAACTCTTGCCAGAATTTCTAGCCTGTGGGCTTGCCATATGGGTCTGGGGCTTGCCAACCCCATGATCATGCAAGTCAATTCCTTAAAAGCTTTCTCTCTTTATTCTTCTATCAATATCTCTATCTATCTATCTATCTATCTAGACATACATCCTGTCAGTTCTGTTTCTCTGGAGAACCCTGCCTGATACACTCCTCACACTACAGGATCACAGCTGATCCATCTCTGCCCACAGAGTCTGACAGTGCCTGGCTTGAGACAAGCATAGTAAACAGAATGGGTGGCTGGGGTGGAAGAGAGGAGTCAGAATGAGATCAGATGAGATGGGATGGGACCAAGGGAGCCAGAATGACGGTATCCATGGCCACAACTGTTGAGTTACAGAGACTGCATTCCCATTCTAGTTTATGTGAATGGCTGTCAGGGAGCACCAATTACACAGGTGACATTGTCAGAGTCCCGCCTGGAGTTATGCAACATGGTGGTCCTGCAGGTACCCAAGGATGAAGATGGTCTCCAAACAATCAAGCAAGAGTCTGATTTGAAAAGGCATGAGCCAAGTGGAAAGAGCAAAGCTATACTGGGGTCAGAAACCTGACAATCTTGGTTTTGCCATCGTGACCCAGGACAAGTTACTTAACCTCTGGGTCTGTTTCTTTATCAGTCGATGGGTGACTGTTATCATTCTCTCATGTCATGATTGTTAGCTGAGGGAATGTACATAAAAGGCCTGGGGAGATGCCTGGCAAATCTGTGGTGTCTAAGTAATGGCAACCATCATTCATGGAGCTGGAGAAGACTCAGAAAGCAACAGATTTGGGGATGGGAGGAAATAAAGAATTCTTTTTAGGAAGCGTGTGGCTGAGACATTTGTGTGACATCCAAGTACAAATATCACTCTGGCAGTTGGAAATAAGAGCGGTGCTCAAGAAGTGGTCTGGGCTGGAGATAAATTAATGACAATTAACACCATAGAATTAGATAAGTCACCGAGGGACAGACTGTAGAAAAAGATTCTTAAGGAACTCCGACCAGGAAAGAGCAGATGGATGACAGAAGACAGCAAAGGGGACTGAGTCGGAGGAAGCAGGGAGAGTGAACTCTGGCAGGAGAACTTTAAGAGGATGTGAGTTGTCAGCTGTGTGAATATGGCTCAGGGGTCAAGAAAGAAGAGCTAAGAGTGTCCAGGGCATGTGGCCACATGGAGGCCACAGGGAAGTGTAAGTTGGGGGGTTGGGGAGAGCCTGGACCATCTGGAGGAGGAGATGGATCTTCCTAGAACCTTGGCCTCGAGGAAGAGCAGAGAAGGGGGTGGGCAGTGGGTGTGGAATCAGAGGACGGAACATGGGTGAAGCACGGGCAGGATGCAGGTTTGGATGTGGGGAGATGGGAGACTTCTGTCCAATGGTGTCCATACTCTCAGGCAAGCACAAGGCCAAGCAACCAACTGAAGGGGAAGGAAGGTTTGTGAAACTGAGAAAGTGCCACCAGGGACCTCTGGGGAGCAGCCTTAAAAACCCAGCCTGGTCGGGCTGTAGGAGGGTGTGGATGGTCCATTCCCGGCTTGGTCCTGGGGAAGGAACATGTGGGTCTCGGAGCACTGGGGGTTCATGAGGGAGGGACAGAGGGTGAGTGGCAGGCATGATGAGGCAGTTAAGGGAGGAGGGAAGCTTCCCCTGGGGGCTTAGATTGCAGAACAACTGAGAGAAGATGGGATCCAAGCTGTGATCAGAGGGTGGCTTTTGTGAGGATGTGTCCAAAGCTGGAACCACCTAGAACTGATGGTCAGAGCTGATGAACGGTCCCAGGTGAGGAGGAAGGAGTGAAAACGGACGTGGGTGGGAGAAGAGAAGGCAGCAAGTGGGCACTAACTTATCACAGCCTGTGTTAAATCCTCCCATGGGTACAACTAGGGCGAGGGGGCACGGGCGCAGGATGCGTGAAGGGGTGCGCTCAGAACATCCAACACAGAGGTTGAATAAATCTTCTACGCTGAGAGAGGTGAGTTGTGCCTGAGGCCAAGGATGCAGAGGTATTTGTTCATTATTCCCAGAAAACATGTTGCAAAGGAGAAATTTTGCTGGCACCAGGAGGATGTGTGTGTGGGGTGTGGGTTGTGCTTCCTTTGGGGTCAAAGCCAGCTCTGACCTTCTACTCCCTGGTCAGAGAGGGTTGTTAAGCCCATAAGGACCCACTGCCCAGGGTTTCTGTCTGCAGCAGAAGCCTGAGACTGTGTGCCTCCCGTGCAGAGGCCACCACGGAGCTGAGAATGATGCCACGTCCCCAGGACATCACGTCACAGGGGGAAGCTGCCGCCTGTGCAGTGCAAGGCCAAGTGCAGATGGCTCGCACCCGAGGCGGCATGGAGCCATGGGTTCAAATCCCAGCTCTACAGCTCGCTAGCTGTGTGCCTTGGGGAAAGTTACTTAACCTCTCCGTACCTCTGTTTCTTTATGTCAAGTAGGGAATAATAATAGGACCTGCCTCATAGGGCTCTCGTGAGGATTAAATGAGTCAGTATATGTGAAGAACATAGTAAATGCTAAAGGATCACGAGCCGTCGGCATCACCACAGGCTCCTGGGAGACCTCATGGAACGAACGGTGTCTTAGAATGGGTTCAGAGGAGAAAGGAGGGGGACCCACTTGGTGTTTGACTAGAGAACCTTAAACCGCCTCAAAATAATCCTCTAGGCTTAAATAGAATAATATCGATAACATAACATAGTATAACATAAATATAAGCCCAGTGCATGGGGTTCCAAAAAATGCTAGCTCCTGTCTTTTGAATCTGCGGTAACAATACTAATATTGCTGCTACTCAAGTCTAACACCCTGCCGGTGACCATCATTGTGGCCTAAAAGGTCGGATTGCTGCTGTTCCCACTGGTGAAGAGCCACGTGCTGAGGCCCCGGGGGCCCACCTGCCACAATCCAGCGGCTACAGGCAACAGGACTCTGATCCTGACAATTTGATTGGGCCCACTTAGCCTGTACCTAGGGTTAAATGTTTAGAAAATCACCTCTCCTGTACTACTGCTGCTCCTTATAATAAAACCTTCAGGGGCACCGTGTGTGGGATGCTTTAACTGGTCACGTTAGAGGCAAAGCAAGCTGGGCTTGGAAAGGAATCTTCTCCCACCCAACCCACCACAGAGGTGGGACCTGAGCCCAGACCCCTTGAAGTCAGTCCCGTGCTCATGAGCCTGCGTTGAGAGTAAGGGTGCAAGTGAAGAAAAGGCACCCGCCTGCATCAGCGCAGCACAAAATGTCAGCAGACGGCGAAGGCGGATGTCTTCTCCCAAAGCGGCTCCTGCGGACGGCAGCCACCTCCCTGAACTGCCTGGAGTCGTGGCCTTCTGTCCTGTCCACCCCAAGATGCGGCCCTGCTGACAAAGCCCTGTGGGCCCAGCAAGTCACTGGCTGACAGCTCTGAGCAGAAAATGCCACACATGCCCTGGCCCCAGTTCTCTGCCCAACACTTCACAGTGACTTTATTCTTAATTTTCAGGGTCAATTCTCTGCTGACTTTGGCATGGAGCTAAAGCTAACCTAAAGGAATGTGGAAAATAGGGCAGCTAGGAAGAAGGGAGAGGCGGGAAAGAAGAAGGGGAAGGGAGGAGGGAGTATTAGCTGCCTTTGGAATAATGACCACACCATAATCAATTTCGTGGGTTTTTTTTTCTTTTTCTTTTTTTTTTTTTTTTCGGTTCGGTGGCCTCTCACTGTTGTGGCTTCTCCCGCCGCGGAGCACAGGCTCTGGACGCGCAGGTTCAGTGGCCACGGCTCACAGGCCCATCCGCTCCGCGGCATGTGGGATCCTCCCGGACCGGGGCACGAACCCGTGTCCCCTGCATCGGCAGGCGGACCCTCAACCGCTGCGCCACCAGGGAAGCCCTCAATTTCGTTTTTATATAAACATGTGTCAGACACCATGCTAAGCAATTCAAGTGCATTTCTCACTTCATCTTCACCTAGTTGATTTTCATATCCCTCAATTTTTAAATCTCTTGCCCAAGCTGCTCTGTAAGTCTTGGTAATTCCTGAAATGGTCCCCAAAGCCAATCCAAACCTGCGAGCCTGACTTACCTGTTTCCTGGAGCTTCCTCAGCCCGTTCCCCGTCTAGAGAGCAAACAGAAGATGCTTCATGAATAGAACGGCTCCCAGTAGAATCGGATATAAGCCTGGGAAATTGTGAAAGAAAGCGGCATGAATGACTGAAAGGCATCCAGCGGCTACCGTAAACATTCTGTGATGGCAATCTTGACAAGCGATCAGTGATTAACATCGAGCTACTGATGGCTAGCTCAGCTTATTAAAAACGTGCCCAGCTGTGGTGTGGGTCAGCAAGTTCCGGCCTGGGAGTCCAAGGCAGAGGTACCCTGGTCAAGTCACTGCTGACTGCCCTAGGGTGTCAGGACCAACCTGCCCGGGCAGCTGTGACGAAGGTCAGTAAAATGACACGCAAGAGTTGTAAAGCAAAACACAAAGGAATGCAGGTTGATCGAGTCTGAAGCCCAGAGGAGCAGGATGAGGGGTCAACTCTTGCTGCTTTGTCGATGGAGGAGTAAAATCAGCCCATGCTGAAATACACAAGAGCCGTCACTTGGGAAGCGCTGCTCCCATGGTCACGGCCACTGCTGTTATTTTATGAATGCACGCTGTCCTCCTGACCTCTCTCTAGCTCAAAAGTGATGCAGGTGTGCTAATCCTACTCTTTTTCAGCACCGGGAGATAGATGGAGGGCTGGAGTGGCAGAGATATGTGAGGGAGAGAGGTGAGGGGCTAAAAGCGTTGCTGGGCGGCTGGGACAAGATCCAAGCTCAGCCAAGGGCATCAACAGCCTCCTTCGGAGCAGCTCACAGGGAGAGGTGAGGGCGTGGGAAGTGATGCATGGTTTTGGGGTGAAGCACAGAGAGATGGATGCCCAGGAGTCTCACCCACCTCGGGAAAGGAACCCTGCGCCTGGCTCAGGCATGAATTCAGGCCCCGGGAGACAGTGCTGTCTTGGGAGCCTGGAAAAGCCCATCCAATTCCCTTGGCATCGATTGGAAGCACCCGGGCAACCTCCTCATGGCTAATCCCATTTCCCCAGTGCCTTGTTGTTGACAGAGGAGGGCTGGAGAGCAGGAGGAAATCACCTGATCCCTGGAAGACACCTACTCAAGGTGTCTTTATCAACTGACCTCTGATGCCTGCACAGCCCGCACGCTAGACAGATGACATTTCTGTGCCTGGGTGGCTTCAGCTGTACTTTAGGACATGCAGACACACCAAGGAAAGGCTGTGGAGCGAGGGGATTGCTTTCCCAGGCTTTTTAAACCTTCCACAATTACCCAGCTGGCGCCCACCCCTCCTTTCCCCAAGCAGTCACCCAAACTCTCTCTTGACATCTTTTTTTGCTGTAATAAATCATTCTCAGGTGCCAGGACAATTCAACCATTGGTTTAGCAGCATCTAGATAAAAAGTATAAGATGATGACAGAGACTGAGATTTGATGTCAGACCTCAAATCCCAACTGCTGCTCCCCAGCATGTCTCGTGGGACAAGTCACCTCTCTGCAAAGTGGGGATAAGGGAATATCTCAAGGTCACGTACAGATCAAATGAGATGCAAGGGTATATACCTAGGAATGGAGTTGCTGTATCAAATGGTAATTCTGTGTTTATTTCTTGAGAAACTATTTTCCACAGTGGCTAAACCAGTTTACATTCCCACTAATCACTCCCGGGTGTATACCTTTGAAATGGCCTGCAATGTAGCAAGCTCCAGGTAAATATTTGCTATTGCAGTTACTGTTGAGAAATCTCTTTATCGCTCATTATTTTTATTCTGTTCCTTTATTTATTCTTTTACAAATGTCTACAGAGCTCCTACTGTGAGGCCAATACAGTGCTAGATGCTGAGAAGGCTGCAAAGAAGGGAAAACCTGTCAGGAAATTCACAGTCTAATCAGAAGGATGAGCCACTGGAAGGGACCTACTTTTAGTGAGCACCTACTATGTTCTGGGCACTGGTTAGGCATAGCCTCATCTAATTCGAAGAACAGCCCCTGAGCTCTTGTTATCTCCTTTCTACGGCTGAGCCTGCTGGGGTTTCAGAGGTCACCCCACTTGCCCAAAGCACCGCCCCTTGTAGATGAGAACTGACACTTTTAAAGCAAGACCACCCGCTCTGTCTGCCCTGACTGCTCCCGTTCACTGCTGCTGTGTGGGCAAGGCCCTCACCAGAGAGAACAAGTCCGTCAGGGTGAGACCTTGATGTAAGACACCTTTCTCTTCTTTCTTTTTTGGCAGCCCAGCATCCAGACAGACTTCTCACTCGGGAGCACCTCCCATCTGTGGGGCTTATGGGCGCATCCCTCTCACCTTCTGAAAAATTTCCTTCCTTCCAGCAATTATCTCATTTCAATCGCATCCATTTCTCCCTCGCTCTTACGTCATCCCAGGCTCTGTACAAAAACGTCTTAATGTCACCAATTAAAAAACAAAAACAAAACTAACTGTTGGCAAGCATGTGGAGAGACTGGAGCCCTTGTACATTGCTAGTGAGGATGTAAACCAGTTCAGCCATGGTGGAAAATAGTTTGATGGTTTCTCAAAAAATAAACGTAGAATTACCATATGACCCAGCCATTCCACACATAGGTCTATACCCAAGAGAACTGAAAACAGGTGTTCATACCAAAACTTGTACATGAAAGCTCATAGCAGTGCTATTCACAATGGCTAAAAGGTGGAAACAGCCCAAACATCCATCTACCAATGAAAAGATAAGCAATTGTGGTCTCTCCATACAATGGGACCTTATTCAGCCAAAGAAAGACATGAAGTTCTGACATGTTTTACAAGGTAGAACTTGAAGCCCTCGTGCTAAGTGAAAAAAAAGCTAGATTTGGAAGGTCAACTGTTGTATCATTCCATTTAAATGAAATGTCCAGAAGAGGCAAATCTACAGGGGCTGACAGCAGTTTAGTAGTTGCCTGGGCCAGGGGAGGAGGCGATTGGGGAGCAGCTATTAACGGGTCAAGGGCTGCTTTTTGGGTGGTGAAAATGTTTTGGATCTACACAGAGGTGGTGGTTGTACAATATTGTGAATGTACTAAATGCCACTAACTGTTCACTTTTTTTTTTTTTGGCACCGTGGGGCATGCGGGATCTTAGTTCCTGGACCAGGGATCAAAACCTAGCCCCCTGCAGTGGAAGCGCAGAGTCCTAACCACTGGACCACCAGGGAAGTCCCTGAATTGTTCACTTTAAAAATGGTTAATTTTATGTTGTGAATTTCACCTCAATAAAAAAAAAAAAACCTCCCCTTGACCCCGTGACCTCCCACTCCCACCTGTTTCCTTGGTCTTGTTACAGGAACTCACTGTGTCATTTTCATTTCTCTCCTCAGCTCGTGCCCATGGGGTTTTTGACCCACCACACCTGCCAATCATCCAATGTCAGTAGTCAATTCCCTGTAACCTCCCAGCAGCTTTGGTGAAGCTGATCACTCCTCTTCCTTCTGGGTCCTTCTACAAACTTCCTTGTCCCATCTTCCAGCCAACATGCCTCGACTTCGTTACCATTTTGAAATAATTAAAATATTTCAACCTGTTTTTTTTTTTTTTTAAATAAATGGTGGAATGGAATGTTCTAAATTCAGACCCTCCTCCCTACTCATCAGGTTGGTTTGAGTTGGCAGATCAAGGCTTTGGCATCCATAGTGACCCAGCTTCAAACCCTGACTCTGCCGCCCACCAGCTGTGTGACCTTAAGCAACTCAGCTACCCTCTCTGAGCTCAGCTCCCTTACCTGTATCGTAAACAGCATGTCCCATAACAACATGTGTGGGGATCAGTAGCCATGTGTGGACATGATACTCCGCACCTAGCAGAGACTCATAAATTGTACCTAGTTTTAAACATCTCTATCACTCTTTCATAAAATTCAGAGGGTCTGGATTAGATGTCAAAGAAAGGCTGTGGACCAGACATGCTCAGCTCAGATCCTGCTGAGACCTGGAGGCTCACCAGAGCCCCTTCCCTGAGCTTGCTGGGTTTTTCCCGCCTCACTGGCCACCCTCCATGTTCTTCTGGGGCCTCCCCTTCTCCTCGCCCTCTTCTTTCTGCACTTGCCCCCTGGTCCCCTGGGTGGCTCTGATTCCATCTCTACACTGGGGAGTCCTGTAACAGGGAAGCGCCAAATCTGACTACATGTTGGACCTGTTCCTTTTACTTTAACCTTTCTTTTCCACTGCTTTTGTTCACTACAAGGATACTTTCTATACACAATGACCTGCCTCCGGGAACCCTGCCCCTCTGCCTGAACGGTAAACCAAAGTGCCTTTGTTCACCTGTGGATGGCTACAAGAAAGAAGAAATTAACACATCTGCTCCCTGACACACCTCATCTCCCGTTTATTGGCCTGTCGTGCCGCAGGCAGCGCGAGCTTAGACTCATTTTACATTCCCACGCTTTACGTCACCAGCCCAGACCTGTGTCTCATCCAGAGCACATCGTCACTCGGATACCAAATGGAATGAAGCTGGCAAGTGGCTGGGTCAGTTCCTGGCAGAGCAAGGACTTAAAGACAGTCATGTGCCTGAGGCCAGAGCGGTCCCCCTGGTCTGCACTCAGTTACTCCCTCCACTTGGATGAATAATCCGAGTCTCAAACTCACTATGTCGGAACCTGCTCCTCTACAGTCTTCCCTTCCAGGTAAATGGCATCACTGTTCTACCTGCGGTCCACGCCCCACCTCGCCCCTGAGATCTACCCAGGATCTGACCACTTCTCTTCATCATCTCCCGACCCTCTCAGGGTTATGTCCTCAGCTCTTAGCAAGGTCCACAGGCTCTGACCCTCACCGACTCATACCCAACCCATGTCCCCACCCTCTCTTCCCCCTTCCCCTCCACTCTGGCCAGCTGGACCCCTTGGTGTCCTCAAGTCTAGTACACGCTTGTCTCAGGACCTTTGGTTCTTCTGCCGAGAACACCCTGCCTCAGATTCCCAAAGGGCTCCCTGGTCACTTCCCTCTGGTCTCCACTCAAATAGGACCCACTGGAGAGGACCCCTGACCTCCTGATACTAAATACAGCCCACATAATCAACTCCTCCTTTCCGTCTACCCTACCCCTTTACTTTTGGAATGGCACCCATCACCACCTGGCGAATAGTTACCTGTTTTTTGATCCGTGTCCTCCAACAGGAACCTGTAGCCCAGAGAGCTGGGATTTGGTTTTCTGTGCTGGCCGCTCTGGTCCTCCACCTCCTCTGCCCTGCTCCTGCCCTGGCTGGCCTGCTGTCTTGCAACTGGCTGCCCGCCCAGCAGTAGATGAGGGGTGTGAAGAGAAGGAGTTGGGGGCGCTTCTTCCCCGATCCCTCCCTGGTCTGTTCAGTGGCTCTGGTAACAGCTACATCCTCCTCAACTCCAGCTGCCCCAGGCGGCCCACCCTCCAAGGCCCTCAACCAGCTCCGCAAACGCTGCTCCTTCCCCGCCCTCGCACTTGGGCTGACGGCTCCCTGCTGTCCCTTGTTTGTTTCTTTCCCTCTGCGGGGGGGCCTCTGTAAGTCCTCCCTTCACCATCTGGGGTGGATTCTGTTTCCTCCTGAAACCTAGCCCTGCCAGCCTGTCACATCCTCTGCTGTGTCCAGCACCTAGGACAGTGTTCCGAAAGTAGTGGGCGCTCAATAAACATTCTTCACAATGAATTAGCTAATGAATTAATTAGCAGAAGAATGAATGGAAGGAAATCAATATGCTATTTAAAAGAATGAATAGATAAACGGATGGCGCAAAGCATTTTGTTTCCTTGAAAGAAAAAATGAGTTAAGCAGATGAGTTAGCTTTCATGGAAGCATAAATGGGAAAAAAAAACAAAACAAAACGGTGAACAGAATCCCTGGGTTTCTCTGAATTGTGTGCTCCGTGGACCACTGAGCCTGTCTCCTCCATTGGCTCTCACTCTGAAGGTTAACATTACAGGAATGTCCTCCCAGGCAGATGCATACAGAGTCTGAAATCCCCTGGACGTTGGAGCCCCAGCTGCCAGCCCCACCTTTCCAGCCTGGTGAGGTCTGGAGGAGGTCAGGAGAAGCCAAGTGTTCCCCCTGGGGAGGGGCAAAGGGGCAGAGCAAGGGAGGGGCAGAATCAAGGCCGACACCAGCTGATACCACTGTTGGGCCCAGGCCTGCGGACTCTGTCCAACTTTTACAGCCCTGAACGCCCCAGCAGCAGTGCAGGGGGCTCATTCCCTGAGGAGCAGCCACAGGTGAAGCTACACATGGACACCTATTCTCTGCGTGTTGCCAAGCAAGCTCCCCTCTGGGAAAGAAATCCCTCGGTCCATTCATTCATTCATTCATTCGCTTACTTGGTCATTTATTCAACAAAGGTTTCCCTGGGACTTACTAAGAGGCAGGCCCTTGGTGAGTTGCTGGGATACAGAAATGAATCAGATAAAGTCCCTCCTGGAAGGAGCTGGCACTCATAGGAGGGAGACAGATGCACAGCAGAGAAGTGTAACAGTGCGGAAACTGTCTGTCTGTCTATCCATCCAGCAGACATGCACCGTATGTGCGCTGTGGTCCAGGCACCGTTCCAGGTGCTGGGATGGAGCAATGAAAAAACACAGCAAAAATTCCTGTCCTTGTGGAGCTGACATTCAGAGAGGGAGAGAGATCGTAAATAAAACACATAAGTAGATGATGCAGTATATTAGAACGTGAGAGATGCCATGGGGAAAAAAATCATTAAAGGAGGGAGATGGGAGTATGGGGTGGTGGGGATAAGGAGATAGCAAATTTTTAAAAGATGGTTCTGGAAGGCTTCCCTGCAAAGGTGACATCTGAGCAAAGACTTGAAGGAAGGGAGAGGTTGAGCCACCTGGAACACTGGGCTGTGTGTTACAATCGTCAAAGACATAAGGGGCTAACTATCCCCGCAGCCCAGAGGGAAAGCCCTCTGGGTGGAAAGGAAAAGAGATTTCCAGCAGAAGGACAGCCGAGGAAGAAGGGCCAGAAGGGCGAGTAGCTACCAGAGAGTAGACTGAGGGGGTGGGGAGAGTGACGGGAGATCTTTCCAGAGAGGTCGGTGAGACAGGAAGATGGGATGAACCCAGTTGCTTGGACTGGGTCCTGTTGGCAAGGGATTTGCTTTGAGCAGTGGGATGGTGAGCGATGGAGAGATTAAGATGCTGATACTAGACCACAAACCACCTTCAAACCCCAGCTCCACCACTGGCTCTGTGACGTTGGCAAGTCACTTAACCTCTCTGAACCTCAGTTTCTTCCCCATCTGTAAAAGACAAGAGTCACAGAACCCACTTCACAGGACCAAGTGTCTTAGAACTTTATTCCTCCGAAAGAGCACGGAGGGGCCGGGCCAGCCTGAAGGAAGAGAGGCGCATTTGAGGGCTTGCAAGGTCTTTGATCACATGTCCTAGAGCAGGACGTTTGTATGTAAAGATGATTTATCACTTTGTTCGATGCCTGATTCCTAAGCACTAGCCATCTTCCAGGCAACACGCTGGAGATACAGACATGGATCTGCCCTCTTGGGTTTGCAATCTGGGTGTAGGGGCATGGATTCCAGCATGCACCATCCAGGGTAGGCTTGCATAGTGTGTGGAGTCAAGGGGCAAAGCCTGACTCTGAAAAAACCTAGAACACCAGAGAGGGCAGCGACAGCATGACGTCGGTCACTGTCACCACCTGGAGAGTTCCTTAAAAACAGATTTCTGGCCCCCACCCAGACCCACTGATTCTGAAAACCCAATGGGAAGGTCTAATAAACTATCATTCAATGTGCCCCAGGTAATTCTAATTATCAGCAAAATTGGCAAATGCTGATCCAACACAACGCCCTCTCTTTGCAGACAGGAAGCGTGGCGTCTAGAGACTTGCCCGAGGATGTATAGCCGAGGCAAGGTTGGAAATCAGAGGCCTCGCAGCCCCATCTGCATTCATTTCCTAGGCTGCATTTCCTAGGGCTGCATGACAAACTGGGTGGCTTAAAACCACAGACATGTGTCCTCTCACACTTTCAGAGGCTAGAAGTCTGAGACCAAGGTGTCAGCAGGGCAAGGCTGTTCTCTCCTGAAGGATCCAGGGAGCATCTGTCCTGTGCCTTTCTCTCACCTGCTGGTGTCGCTCGCCATCCTTGGCTTATAGCCAAACGACTTGACTCTGTCTCCATCCTCACCTGGCCTTCTCCATGTATGTCCCCTTCTTGTAAAGACGTCGGTCATCTTGGATTAGGGCCCACCCTATTCCAGTGTGACTTCATCTTAACTAATTCCATCTGCAATGACCCTATTTCCAAATTAAGTTCACATTCTGAGATACTCAGGGTTAGGACTTCAACATCTCTTCTGGGAGACACGGTTCAACCTGCAACACCTCCAAGGCTTGTGCATTCCTCCCGCTGACATATTTAATGGTTATGAGCCTCCTAATCCCGGGAAGATCTCAGGGTACCGACACTAAAATAAAACGGATAAAACAAGACTAAGGTAATAAGAAATAATGAATAAGTAATAAAACGGAAGAGGGGACATAACTGTAACAGATGCTTGGGCTAGAGACGGTTTGAAGCCACTGATGACTCAGGTTCACTCTGAGCGTCTGGACTCCTGACTCCCCACGGGAGTTATCTTTACAGGAATGTGGCCAGGCGTCTGGAAAGGACCCCTTCAAGCAAAGGGAAAGTTGATGATGTGACAGTGTGTCTCCTGGACCTTCTGAACTTAAAGATGTTACCCCCAAGCCTGTTTCACACATTGTTCTAGAAAATGGATGAGATAATGCAAATTAAATAACTGGGATAAATAACATTTTTATAAATCATTGCAACTTACAAAATTTTTCATGTTTATCAGCAGAGATAATCTTCCCCAGAATTTTGTGGGGTGGATGGACTCACAGCTTACACGCACCATGAAAGACTGAAGGACAGAGAGGTAATCAAGGCCACAAAGTGAGTTGTAAATGAGTTACAACTAAAGCAGGCTTCCTGGCTCTCAGCCCAGGCTTCTCCCCACTATTTCCCCCGTGTCTACAAGGCTTTAATGCTCCACACCACTCTTTGCATGGTCAGTCTGCAAAGTCATCATAGTCAGTCAATCAATAAGTGTGTAAGTAAATGGCTATATTCAATTAAAATATTATACATTCTGGTTACTACTTGATTGACATTATCTCATCTGTTTCCAGCAAGCTATGAAATAGCCTATGCAGACATCAGCTCCAAGGCTGGAAGAAAGTCACAGGCCACCACCTTCCCAGCCCTGTGGGGTTCTTGTACCGGATGGTACTCAGAGAAGATGCTAGAAGGAACAGAGGCCACTCCCGGCCCCCATTACGGGCTCCAACCTCCCCTCCAACATAGCTTCCTTCCAGCTAAGAAAGACCACCACTTGCTGGAGAGTTCTCAAGCCAGAGTACATGGGGCTGAATCGACTTGAAAGGATCCTTTGAAAGGTATTGAAGAGAGCTGCCGAAATGAATAGGCTGGGCTCTGTAGCTAAGCTGGCGTTTGGAACCCAAGCAAAGATGGAAATCAAGACGTACTACATTTGTCCTTTGACGAGCAATGGATTGTTAATTAGGAGCCTATCCTGTGCTAGACCCTCAAAGAAATTTGCATTTCATCCCCCCGATCGTCCTGCAAGAATCCATTTTTTGATGAACACGCAGAGACACAGAGAGATGAAGTGGCCTGCCTGGTGTCAAAGAGCAGAATTGTGTGTTCTGCTGCCTTTGTGTGTAGCCTTTTGCCAAGGGTGTCGCCCTGGTGCAGAGGTGTCCCTCCTCAGTCAACCTCTCCCAGCACTTCCTGGGACCAGGCTGCGGGCACAGCAGGGAGTATGTAGGTATGGAATTCTCCAGATGTTCACACCTGTGTCTTCTGGGCAGCAAATATTGAGGTACTAGATGTGGAAAGTTACTCACCATCCTGCAGGTTTCCGCCCAGGAAACAATCCTGCCAAGTGCACCCTTGAACCATGCTCCTGCATTGGGCATTCGTGCTGCTTCTCTGTCTCCCTCCTGTCCTAGGGACTCGGGCTGGACTTGTTCAGAGAAGCCTTACCTCCTGCATTTAGCACAGAGTTTCCCCAGAAAGCCCCTCAGTGCACCCAGAACTACAGCCTCTGTGCCCCTCACTGCCCTGGGGTGGACATTGGCTCAACACCTCCCAGAAGTCAAAGCGTGATCGGCTGGCATCGGCTGGCCAGCATCCTCCCTGCTCTGCTATTTGGCAGGCGGTGGAGTATCTCCCTTCTTCCTGAGCATGGCCTTGAACTTTACAAAATGAATGGTTCCTAAGTGCCCTCTGAAGGACCAAGACCAGGGTCAGGTTGGCTGCTGAGAACAAGGATTTTTCTAAGCCTGCCCCTTGGGATTCTGATTTAATGGATCAGGGATGGGGCAGGGCATCTGAAATTTAACAAGCACCCACCCCACTTCA